ACCTAGCTGACTGGAGATCCCAAGATCTAGGTTCAATGGGACAACTAAATTGTCTAGACTGGCTGAGTTCACTGTGGGGGTAACCCCAGCCAATTCCTATGATGATAACAGTGAAACCCGTACGAGGAAAAGGTTAAACATTGGTTTTTAATGATTCTTATGCGTCGGATATGACAGGAATCCGAGCGGAGTAATACGGGTTACTCTTCATTAAGAAATCACCTATGTGAGAGAGAAGTGGGGCCGCTTCAAAGGAGAATTGTGAGGGCTCAATTCTTTAGAAACTCTTGCAAAACCAGGTAGGATGTTCATGGCCGAACGAACATAACCATGAGAACAGAACTGTGTCAGGAAGATGTCTGTGTGAAGTACAATAACGTTTACATGAAGGCATAACAGTTCAAAGACATCGCGTCTACTGGTCAGCCAGTAAAGTTTTTGTATTCTCACAAGGGAAGGTTCAAAGGGTAACGCCTACCTATCCTTTGCAGGCATCGACCGCAGAACTCTATCACCGTGTCGAGTTTGTGTTTTCTTGTCGTCAGTCAATTTTCATTCATGTGGGGGATTGTTGGAAAAAATGGCTTATTAAGCCATTTTAAAGGCCCATTTTGAGGCCCATGTTTGAAAGGGGCCCAATAGGTTTTGAGACGGGTCTCGATGGATTTGCGTTCTTCGTCACGAGGAGATCGAAATCAAGTATTCATACACTCAAAATGGATTTTGGGTGAATGAGAAATTGATGGTCTAAGTATGGTACTTGGAATGGCATATGTAGAAGCCCATAATGAGACCTTAATGGTGATCAATGGAGGCAAACCGAATCAAGCTTTCATGGCTTCGGTTTTTCATCATCAAAAATTGAATTACTAGCTAGAATGTGGCCAGATTCACCATGGCAAATCAAAAAACGTTTTGGCTGGTTTTAATCACCATTATTCCGGGAATAAATCTAGGTTATTACACCATAATGTCTTGGTGTAACACCCAGATTTTGGAGCCTATATAAAGGCCAAAACTCCACATGATAGGAACATGCTTTCTCACAATTCTCTTCTCCTTTTTTCGGTTCTCTCTCTGTCTTGGTTTCTTCCGGATTTCCTTGAGTAGTTCTTGTAGTTCGGTTTTGGTGATAGAGGGAAGATCAAGTTCTAGTTCGCCGGACGGTTCCGAAAGTGCATCGAGCTGCCGTGGTTGTCGTTGTATCCTGGGAGACGGATGTCCAACGTAACCTCAAACACACGCCGGAGGGGACGAATCTGTTTTAAGGACAACGTGGTTCACGTGCCTCGACATTCATACAATTCCGTTTTCCGAATTCCATAGAAAGGTTGATTTCGGGTTGTAACAATTTTCATTATTTTGTTATTCCTTTATTTCCTTGTTCTTCTTTGTATTTTCTATTATATTGTCTAACAATAATCACCTTTGCTAACACCACAAAAATCAATTCTTTTCCTTTTTCTTCTCAACAATCGGCATAAATGATCACATACAACTATAATTAACCAAGAATATATCAGCAGCCAAGCAAAAAGTACGCAGAAAACACATAAATTATGCATAATACCAAAAGAAAACGACGCTAAAATCAAGAGATTGATATAACACCATAAATGAAGGAAAAACCTGGTCGAGAATTGGGAAATCGGGACGGGCGAAGTGACCGAACGAATTCGCGGACGGAGGAGCAGAAGCGGAGGCGTAGGCGGAAGCAGAGACAGAGAAGCTTCGGAAGGTTTGAGAAGGCCGGGAGCTTCTCCTGATGATTCTGAAGGATGCGAATTTCAAGGTCGAGGGAAAAGCTTGTTAATTTGTTAAATTCAACAAAATTTGAACTTAAATTATACTTTTATTTAAGTTCACATTTTTATAAAATTTGAGATTTAACTTGAGTTTTACTTGACCTTCAAATTTGAGTTCAAATTCTCAATTTTGGGCCTGTTTAGTTCCGTTTTCGTTTCCATTTTTCACATTTTCCAAAAACTAAAAACTGAAAATGCTCTGAGGAAGCCGTTTGGCAACATTTTTTGAAAAATAAAAAATGAAAACGTTTTTTACTTTATTCTTAAAAACTCAACAAAACTGAAAACGATTGAAAATCGTTTTCAGTTTTCCATTTTCATTTTCTTTCCCCGACCGATGGACCATTCTTCTCCGACTACACCCCCCACCCCCACACCCAAGCTGTAATCGTAACTTGCTCTTCTTCTTCTTCTTCCAATTCCAAGCTGTAATCGAATCTCAATCAAAAAATTAACTCAAATTCCTCTGCCTCCCCCCACAGTCTTCTCTGACAACGCCCCCCCGCGTCTCCGACTGCGCCCCGTCTCCGACGGCACTCCTCATCTAGAAATGGGTTTTCGTTTTTTCTTGTTTTAGGCCCCGTTTTTGGGTTGATTGATGAGGTAAGGAAATGGGTTGATATGGTTATTTAATATATTATTAGTTTAAATATTATTACATGATTTTAAAAATTAAACTACCAAACACAATTTTAGTTTTTTTAAAACTGAAAACAATCTCAGAATAAAACTACCAAACGCATTTTCATAAATGATTCCAAAATGAAAATAAAAACGTTTTCATTTTCATTTTCATACAAAAAATAAAAACGTTTTGGAACCAATTCCAAACACACCCTTTAATTCTTAAACTCAAATTCAATTTAATAAATAGTATTTTATTTTTTAAAATTTTTAAAATCGTCATAACTTTTTTATTTTAATTCTGATTAAAATAAATTTTTTTTATGCATTCATAATAAAAAGGTGAATAAAATCACATTCATATACCCTGTTAAAATTTTCTATTATTATTGAGTTTTTATTAAAATAATATCTAAATATAAATTAAAGTTTTAACTTATCTAAACACAAACTTAAATCGATTCTCAATTTAAATCATAACTTAAAATATACACGTCCAAACATAAATTTAAATTAAAATCTCAATTCAAACTATATTTAAATATACTTTAACTCAAATCAAAATTTAAACTCAAATCATTATAATTTAAAAAATACAAATGAACGGCCCCTATATGTTAGCCGCCTCCAAATGGAGTTGGAATTGGAGATAATGGTTATGGCGGCTAATGTGCATGAGAGCGGTTTCAACGCTAAAGTAAGAGTACAGAGGGCATTTGGTGTTAGATGCTTGGAAGATCTCATGGGATGAAGTCAAACGACAAAAGGTTGTTGAAGACAAAAATACATATGTATGTATGTATGTATGTAGAAGAAAAAGAGAAAACAAACAAGACCCATAAAAAAATAATGGAAATAATTAATTTACAAAAATGACCCCGATGAATTCAAGTGGTCTCACTTTGACCTTAAGTTTTAAGGTTGTAGTATCCTAGGTCATAAAATGAGAATTCTTTAATGGGGTATGAAAAATACTCCATGGCGTCTGCTAGGTTTTGTTAATTTCCCTTGCACCAACCTAGGACTGGCTGCCCGTTCTTTGGCCCGAGGGAGGGAGTGGTGCACAGGTTCTTGGTGTGCATGGAGGTAATGTCGAGTCCGTGGCTAGAGGTGTGTAGCATTAGCGAGTCGACATCGTGTTTAAAATACATCGTGTTATCTTCCTTCTCTTGTCGCTCTTGTCTTCATTGAATAATAGTGTGGGGATCTCCTAGCTTATGTGAGTTTTAACTTTTACGAAGACGGTCTCCACACTCTCATCACTCTCTCATTATTTGCTTATGTACAATTCACAATAGTTGCTTCTTCACGGTGTTGTGTGGTGTTTTTTTTTTTTTTTTTTTGCAAATCTTTTAGTCTCGATCAACTAGAGTTTTTCATCGATTGTCTAGGTGATGCTAAAAGAGCCGATTGAAAACTTGATTCTTGGCATGTCTTTGCATTTTCCTATCATGGAAACTAGGCATGTGTTTTTTACGTCTTTGGGTTTCATTAAATTATACTGTAAGTGTCTCTGTGATCTCTTCAATTTAAAATACAATTACCTATTTCAAAAATGAAAAATTTTTAAAAAAAAAACTCCAAGAGTAAACATCTTTTTCTCAATCTAAATAATGCCGAAGGGATGAGAATAAAATGAAAGTAACAAATAAAGTCCTTTTTTTCTAAATCTTTTGCCCAATGACATTTTTTTTTCCTTTTATGGACCAATCAGCAATTAGAGTAGCAATTTGTATCGGCAGTTGTCTGGTTGAGGTATATTTTTTAAGAAAATACCTCAACTTGAACCCAATCTATGGTATGAGCAGGTTAAGAAATCCCAACACTAACCCAACCTGTCTTAACACGTACACAACCTATACGAATTTATTACCTTTATGACATACGACCCTATAAAATAAACATAAAACACATATTTTCTTAAAATTAAATCGGTTTCATACAACAACAACTAATTAAGTACTGAAAGTTTAATACACATTCAACCAAAATTAAGAAAAAAATGAATTTTAAAAAATAATAGAATAATTGAGCGGGTCAATTTAGCATCTTGCATGTTGATCCAAATCCGATCCATTTTTTATGGGTCAATTCAAGTTGATACTAGATTGATATTAATTTGTAAAAAATCATATTGTGTTCGTGTTGCCTCTTCCAACCTTGCACCAGTATAAATAAGCAAGAATTATTCGTGAATGTTGATACTTATGGGCACAAATTGACCCATCATCATTCCAAATTGTGGCTCCTCACGATAACGATACAAAAGGTTTAACTTCTTGCCCGTTATACTTTGCTCGGCACCAACAATGAGTCCTTTCGTTTTTATTTTCTTTGAGAAACCAACAATGTGTATAATAAGAGTATTATACATAACATTACCAGCGATGTTTGCAGCCTATATTATTTCATGCAAATGCAGCAAAAAATTAAAAATAAAAAACAACTCCATGCAACTTTCAATCAAAAAACGAGAAGTACCAGCAAGGGAAGTCACCCATACGTGCTTAGCCGCATCAAAACTAAATTTCTTAGAAGCATGGAATTAAAAAAAAAAAAATACGACTCAAGTTGGCCAAAGTATTATCATAAACCACAGAAAGAACCTTTCAAGATGAAGAAAAAAATTATGCAGAGCAGTGAATAACGAATAACGAGTGAATAGATACTCAGAAAGATTGTGATACATGAACCTAAAGGCTAAAAATCTGCCTATTTGAAGCGTTAAACAAAAGCCTCGCCCTCACTAACCTAGGTTTTTAATCCGACTACAAGAACCCCAAGTAGACACTCATCAGTCATTAGCTCTCAAGCGGGAACAAGCTAAGACAAAAACTCCATATACAAAGGAAAAGGCAAATTTCTTGGCTACTCGGTAACAAAACAGCTAAATGAGCAGTTTTACTTTCTTCCACTTGTTCCAACCCGTGGTTTGCCTTTCACCTCGGACTCCTGCATCAAGAAATAATAGAGATTGGAATTTGGGTAATGTTTGTTTTCGATTATAAGCTAAGAGAAGCTACAAAATTTTTCAAAGTCTTAAAACATTAATGAACAAACCTGCGGTAAGTGCAGGAAAATGTGGGTCTTTGCTGTTGCTGGATTGTGGTTTTCTGCGCCCTTGCTCCAGTCGTAGCAGACCTGAAGAAAAGTTGAAGAATCTCATTTCCAAATCCGATCATTTTTGGGATAAAAGAGAAAAATGGCCCAAGGAAACGTTCTCTAAAGGCAATATCCCAGAGTCGATTAAAACTCCAAAAAACATGGCAACAATTATTGACTTCTCATTAAGGCAAGCCGTTAAAAGAGTTCAACATCCTCATGGTAAAGTAACGAGTTCAATAATACAAATAACTAGGTCAATTTTGGCAATGATATATGTTCCTCAACAGGTTTATGAAAATTGCACAAAATTAAATGAGAAAGAGAGCATTTTACTACTTTGTGCTTTCAGAAATTCAATAAACTAAAACAGTGATTAGTACCGAGTATGCATATATAGAACCATCATTGTTGAAAGTACTGCAAGGTATTGGTTGACTGCATCTTGACATCGCCTGAGAAAGAACCGTGTATTAGAGTTGGATAGTTATGCTAAAAAGTGATACCACAATATCTAATGAAAGAGCAATATATTGCAAAGAAATCGGAGCGTCACACCATATGTTAACGAGAGGCACAGCCTCAGAAAGGACATATAGGTGGGAAATAGAAAAAGAAAAAAATAAGGAAATATTTCTGTAGGGATGTATCCCAGAAATAAACAGACACGTGACAGACATAAATACACATACAGTACACACACCTTGGAAATCTAAACTTATCACCAAGAGAAATTCCAAGTCACTAGCACCCAATTTGTAATGTTTTAAATCCTACTGAAATAAATATGATAATTATGATAGGTAAATATGCAAAGTAAATCCTACGATCTGAAGAACATTATTGATCCATGTCTCATTCAAGTTCAATGGCTTTTCACAATGAAAAACGTAGCATTAATGTATTTCTCCCCATGCATGAAAGAATAGTATCGTACTCGTAGAAGAAATGAAATGAACAGCAATAGCATTATTGAAAGAAATGTATATGGATTATGGACCACATAAATTTGACTTCCTGTCTCATGTCAGCATGCAAAGCACATAACAAGTTGAATAAACTAAATAAAGAGGAATTAATAGTGAAGTGAAAACCAAAAAGATATTCAGAAACACCTTAAGCCTCTGTTTACTGTCCTTATCCCAAAAATTAAAGGCCCCATCGGAGCCTGCAGTTGCAAAAGTTTGATGCACCTGAAATTAAGGAAGAAAATATGGTCACAATCGAAGTGATCAAACTGAAGATAACATACGCAATTTATAGTCAGAATTGATTACATCCTATTTATCTAAAATTAGGCCTAACAGATCTAAAGCATGGTCGAATTTCAATGTGATTTTATATTTCTGCAATAACAAACATCATTCAAAACAATCTGTTTATTCTGATAATCTGATCATATGTGCTAAATTAAATGAAATTTCCAGCCAAATTCTTTCCTCCTGAAAACCATGCATTTAGGTTGCTATATTACTAATTAAAAGTAACTATTGAAAGTTAGAACATAAAATCGGTCTTCTAACACAAGGAAACAATCTAATTCTGCAATATGCAAAGCTTTTGAGAAGCAATAAAATTGTTTTGAACAAGTTAAATAAACGTGACCAAAATCAAGTTATACAAAAGAAACATTTTATATCTTAAACAAAAATATAGAGTTGATAACAAAAAATCTTACAGGATGGAAGTTCAAAGAGTTGACAGAGTATATCTCAGTGCCATCTCTGTGGCATTTGAAAGTAAAGTTTTTACTTTGCTGTGAATCATCTAGATGATGCACACCCACCCTTCCCTCTATCGAACCAATCTGAAAATACCATTAAAATATAATCCGAGCAAACTTAATACAATGCAGTTACACGAGGAGATACATTTAAATCTTAAAAATTCAGGACAAAACTTTTCCAGCACAATGAGACTTACAGCATAAAAATAACTGAAATTTGCAGAAACAACAGAAGAAAATGAAAATACCAAGAATCTAGCCCCATTCACTTAATTCATACATAAGAACCAGAACGTTCAACATAACATTTCACTCTTCATGAAGGGCCTTAAATATTTATATCTGAAAACAGGGAACCATGGGATTTTATGTCTTAGCTTTAAATCTCACTAACTTGTCTCAAAATATTCTACCTGGAAGTACAGGGTTCCTGTTGCACAATCAGATTAGATCAGGTGAATATAAATTCAATGCTTTAGGTAACTCTTAACTGTACATACACGCATACATTCTTGAGAAAATTGCTTAAACATCATTTGTTGACTTCTTTGAAATTTAAGCAACATTATCAGCATCCAAATCACAAAAATATATTCCTAGTTAAAGTGCTAAGCTCAAATTTTCAAATATATATAGCCATAAATGGTATGTGGTTTCTGTTCTTTCTTCTCATTCAAGGTTTGTGTCTAGAATTAAGGTAGTTACAGCTGCTCTAGTCATACCCCAAGAGAAGGGCTTTTTAAAATGTACTAATGACAAACACCTCAAATATGGCACAGAAGAATCACAACATTCTTGTTAAACTGTAACTAAAACCCACTGAAAATTGGGTTGTGCGCATAAGATGTCTTAGTACCAAATCTGTCAAGCTAAATCTAACAACATATTAACATTTCACAATACCAAAGAGCGCGCCGTGAGAACGAATTTTAGAATCTAATGATACAAGAAAGTAAGATGTGACATTTTTAAATTCATCATTTAACAGACAGGTAATGTTAAATAACTAAATAGTAATCATGAGTACCAAGAAACCCTGCTGATCAGGAAAGGCAGCAATACATCTTGTCTGATACTTCAACGGAGAAATAATTCTCTTGAACTCAGTCTGTGTAAGTAGTATTCAACAAATTTTTAGAAAGAAAAAAGATGTCAATGTCAGTAATTGTATATCACAATAGCATTTTCTTGTTCAATGATAAGCGTTGAACTTTATTAAGAAATCCTATTAATTAATAGAAAGGAGAACCAGAAGTCTACATAAACAAGAATTCTAATTCTCCAAAAACAAAATAATAATAATGATAAATTTTTTTTTTCTTGAAAAAAAAATCATACAAAATTGGGAGTCCTTGAACTCCTTACTTCAAACAACTTCTCAACCACTAATCAATGTGAAAAATAACTTTGACGCTTCTGATAGTTTTAAAAAGGAGAAAAAAAAGGATGTTGCATAACCATTCAGGCACCATTCTCCTAAGATTAATTATCCAAACTTTTAACTGCCAAGGAAAGCTCAGCTTGCAAAACAGCTATGGTACTTCTGATCATAATTTCTTTAATTAGAAAAGATAATAAGCTAAATCCTTGATATTCTAATATAATTGATGGCTCTACTTAGTCTAAATCCGAAATATCAAAACCAAAAAACTTTGAAACAATATGTTAGATCACATTCTAGAACCTGCTTATTTGAAATGTGCCTTCAGATCATTTTGAACACCATGTTCAACCGTCAAATCTAATAAAAGCGCATTACCTGTGGGTTCTGTAAATTAAAGACTATCAGATTCCTGTCTGCAGTACCAACAACCATCAATGGATGTCTCACTGTTAGTGCATAACAGCGATCTGGGAGTTGCTGTGTGTGGACTGGATTTGGTTGTCTAGTATCCCAATATCTATAAAACAGGCAAAATGATTCACCAAGATCTTAGAACTCAAAGACATAGGATGATAGGAATTCACGAATATTAGATTGAAGCATGCATAGAACTGTAGAGATTGTACATGCAGAAAGCAAGCAGCTGCAACGGATTGTTCATAAGTAGTAAGTTTGAATTTATGCATAAGGAAATAGAGAAAAGATTGTCCTTGTAGCTTCCTATTTCGCAAGCATCCTTCACATAAATTTACCAGCATGAATCCACAATACCTAAACTTAGTGTGTGTGTGTGTGTGTGTGTTCACAAGAAAAATTAAGAAATCATGCAGACCAGCATATGTTTATAGTTTTTAGCGGACAGTTTATTGTTAAATGACTTTTGAATCTTTGATGACGAAGTATACACATACTATAACCAATGGTGTCATGGCTTCTGCACAAAATGCAGATTTGCCATACTTTAATTTCCATAATGCCAAAAATCCAGAAGCAAAAGAACCATCTACAAATGAGAAATAAAAAATAAACATAAAAAACAAAATATTATTACTTCAAGGTCTTATCCCAGCTTCCGGTCACCAAGAGGCTCATCTCTGGGATCCAAGCAACCTCTTTAATAGGTGCATCATGCATGGCCACAGTCATTGGTTGACCACCAGACAGCAAAGGCCACATTTTCACCTGCTTGTCACAGCCTCCAGAAAAGACGGTTGTCCCGTCATCCTTCCAAGCTGAGCATAAAACCTTACAACAAAACAAAGTAAAAATTAAAATAAGCAACCATACAAACTCAAAGATTCAACAACCAGAAAATGAAAAAAGAATAGTTAAATTTCAGGAATATAAATATATACCGGCTGCTCATGAGATATTGAAGCTTTGGGTGTACTGCCTAAGGCATTCCCATTCCGCATAATCTCCCAACATCTTACCTAAAAAGAAAAAACCAGTTTGAACAATACCAAAAGAAAAAACCAAGCCACATGATTCAAAACCAATTGTGTTAGTGCGGAGATTAACCAAGCAAATGCATAATTTATGCTTAAGAACATAACAACAGAGTAGGACAAATTTGGAATAAACCTGATTGTCCCACGAAGTCGCGACGAGATGATTGGCCTTCGGACTAAAACAAAGGCTAGAAACAGAATCACTAGGAGCTTGAGTCACCTAGACAAAGTATTCAAAATTGGATTAAGTTAACTAATCAAAGAAAAAAATATTGAATAAAAAAAATTGGATTAAGACTCTCAAACTCCAGAAATCAGGTTAAATGCAAAGAAACTAGAGAATCAAAACACCAAAAAAAAAAAAAAAAAACAGTACATAAAAAAAACTCGATTTCAGAAATACCCTAGAGCTGAAAAATAAACTTTCAAACCAAAAGCAATAAGAATGTGTCAGCTCCCTCATATTAAATAAATAAATAAATAAACCAACAACAACAATTTGTGTAACTATGGATATGGAGAAAATGAGAAATCAGAAATTAGATACCTCAAACGAATTATTGGGATTGGGATTCCCAGTAGAAGTGGTGCCAAAGGTCGCCATTGTTTGTTACCGCCAAAGCTCTGAAAACAAAGACACAAAAAAAAAAAAAAAAAAAAAAAAAAAAAAAAAAAAAAAAAAAAAAAAAAAAAACCGACATTATTAAGATCAAATTTTCCACTGCTAGGGCGAAATAATAATAATAATTAACAAAAGAGGAAGGGGAAAGGGAGTCTTAGAGCAAGAGAAATACCCAGAGCGAGCGAGCGAGGCAGAGAGAGAGAGAGTTCAAAACAAAGGAGAGGCAGAGAGAGAGAGAGTTCAAAACAAAGGAGAGGGAGATGGAAAGCAAAGAATGGCGAAGGAAAAAGAATGAGAGTATGAGAGTGTCGTCGCGGTGCTTTTTTTTTTTTTTTTTTTTTTGAGAAGCCGCGGTGCTTAATATTGACGCATCTATTCTCCTCGAATTTTCATTTAACCCGTAGCTATGTTAAACTATTTATTTATTTATTTATTTGATGAATATCTTTGTTAACCTTTTGTGTATTTTATTTAGCATTCGTAAATACACATGTTTTTTTTTATAAAGAAAACAAAAACGGAAATAGAAAATGTGTTTTGTTTTTATTTTTATTTTTATTTTTTTGGGAAATACAGGAATGGTAATTTAGGCCTCTTTCTTTTTACTCATTTAAATTAAAAAATAAATTCAATCTTTTAGAGGCTACTTTTAATTTTTTTTTAAAAAATTACAGTAAATTAGGGTATTTGGCAAAATCTATTTTTGTCCAACAGCTTTTAAAATCTGTTGCCCCCACCCACAACAGGAGTTGCTTTTCCACAACAGCTTCTGCTGTCATTGTCCAAATTTACTGAAATGACCCTAATAATATAACTTAATTCTCAATCAACTCATTTCATTTCTTCCAAATAAAATTAAAGAATATATTTTTATTACAATGTTGCACGTTTAAAAAATAATTTACTTTCAATTCTTTACGTTATTTAATTTTTTTATAGATGTATTAATTAATCTCTTTGAATAAACCAATTTGTTTTTAGAGATATTTTAACTAATAAAATGGAAATTATATTTATTTTAGTATTTTGTTGTATAAATGTTACGAATATTGACTATAAAAATAGAAATAAATTTAATTATAATTATGTGTGTTAAAGTATGTCTATTTTAGTCATTATATATCTTCACAATAATTTTAATATAGTTTACCAAACACTTAAATTTATGTTTCTGGTATTTACAACAACTTTGAAAAAAATTTATCAAACACTTACATGTTTCTGGTCATGGTAATTTCTGACTAACAACATAACAACAACAGAAGTTTTCAACAACACAGCAATACCAAATTGGCCCTTAATGGTCTTATATCAATTTAATTAGTAACTAAAATTTCTCCATTAAAAAAATGGAGGCAAATCCATGCCAAAAAATAAATAAAAAAATAAAAAATACTGATAATTAGATAAACTAGCTTGTAATTAAAAAATGGGTTTAGCGTAAACAGTATCAGGCAATTCCATTCCAAAAATAAATAGACCTAATAATTACTAATTAGATAACCTAGTTAGTCTATGAATTTTAGAAGTTTCCAACTTTATTCTTTTAATTTTAACCGATTGACAAAATAAAATTGAGAGTAAATTTTAAGGGTCATTTATGAGATTAATTCAAAATTGTAATACAAATATTTGTAAATTGAAAATTTCACGGGAAAAAGAGTAGGAAAAAACTGTAAAAAAAAAAATGTTGGGATAAAGATTGTAATGGAGCCACTTGGGCCTGGGGCGCCCCTAGGCCCAATGTGGCTCTGCCACTGTTCCGAGCTATATATACTTTGTACAAAAGGCGGGAAAGAGCGATTGTCTTCTTGTTCTTCTTCCATTCTCTGCTGCTTCTAGTAATTCTTTCTATCCAATCGATTCTTCTTTCTTCTTCTTCTCCTTCTTCTTCTTCTTCTTCTTCTTCAGTTTTGATATAGATTTAATAACGATTTTCTTCGATCGCATTGTGGTGAATTTGCAGAAGAGACGATTTGCTCGTCTGCTCCTTTTCTCCGTTTCAGTACCAGAGTATTACTCCATCGCAGATCAACTTCTTTTGGAAGTTCCTTTTGCGGTAATTTACTGGTGCTCGATCACATTTTTCTCGAGAAAGTGACAGAAAACATTATGCATGCGTATAAGATATAATTATCTGTAATCTGATATATAGCTATATATTATATTTCTTTTTAGGTGTTTAATGTGCTTCTATCGATCGTGTTCTAAGTTAAACTAGAATTGAGAAGGAGATTTGATTTTGAAAATGATAGAATTCAAGAATGGAAGGATCGAGACCGCAGTGGACAGCGAAGGCGTCGATCTTGATCGTAATAATGGCGTCGATCTTGCTCCGTGGTGTCTCCGCTGCGAACCACACTGTTGGTGGCGTTTCCGGTTGGGATCTCACTTCAAACATCCAAGCTTGGGCTTCACAAACTACCTTTCATGTCGGTGACTATCTAGGTACCTAATTCATAATCATACATATATTTATTTTTGTATACACACACATATCTAGTTACTTAATTTGCGATGAACTTGATATATATATATATATATATATTGTTCTGAATTTCGCCAATGCTTAATTACTGAATATGTACCTCGCCTTTGAATTTTTAGCTTCGATTCATATAGATCTAGCTGATTTTTCTTCCTCTGTTCTGTTTAAGTCATGATAATTGGTTAGTGTATACACTTTGCGTTTGATTTTTATTATTTTTGAATCTGTTTTATCTACTATTTTAATCTTCGTTTATTTTGTAAGGTCATGCAATGTTTGGTTAAGGAGAAAATTTGTAGTAGAGAGGAAGAAAATAGATTACGGATTTTCTTTAATTTTCAGCGAAACTTGTGACCAAAAAAGAATCAGTAACTGAATGAACTCGAAAAATTTTCTTTGAAATCAATCATCTCTTTCTTTTTGGTGCTCGTGGGTCGGAAAATCGATTTTCCATTTTCCCTTCGCTTTGTGGTTGACATGGTTAGTTAGTTAAAACGGTTATATGGATGGAGCAGTGTTCTCGTACACGCCAGTCCACGATGTTCTCGAAGTGGAGGAAGAGGACTACAAATCGTGTGACATATCAGATCCGATCAGAACATACAACGACGGAGAGACGGTGATCCCACTGACACAAGAAGGGCCCAGGTACTTCATATGCGGACGACAGGGCCACTGCTCAATGGGCCTGAAACTGGAGGCCCATGTCCTGGCTGCAAACGACACCCGCAGAGGCAGATCACCTGCTACTCCTCCTAACAACTCCCCATCTCCGCCACCACAAGACGGTGATGGTGGTGATGATGATGGCTATGAGCCCAACACTCCTCCGTCGAGCCATGCGCCGGGCCTCACCAACCATGCTTCTCCCCTGCACATGATCATGCCGTCGGTTACCACGCTGCTGCTGCTGCCGGTGTTCGTGGTGATGATCAACATCCTTGGTTGTCATTGATCACACATTGTGATTGATTGATAATGTTCTTGAACTTCTTTCTTTTCTTTTCTTTTTTTTTCTTTTTTTTTTTTTTTTTTTTTTTTTTTTTTTTTTTTTTAGTTGGTCATTGGATGGATATATTGGTATAAGCTAGTTCCTATGAAATCTCTGTTGGAGTTGGTACATGAGAGACTGGTTTTGGTATAAAGTCTGGTATTGGTGACTGGTGACTAGTTTTGATTTCTCATTGCAAAATTTGTACCCGCACACTTCTACTACGTTAGCCTTTTATGGAATAATAATAATTGCCCCTCCATTAACTGATGTGTGTGTGTGTTTTTATTTTTTACTACACTTTCTTGGCTCGTCCATTGTTACTGATAGAATTAAGATGCAATGCCTCAAGAAGGCATAGTTCTGAGCATTTATCTCTATCTTTATGGCACATACGTTTATCTAATTGCACTGATGGTAGTATAGGCCTTAGGAATTTCAGTATTTTCAACCAGAATAAGGCTGGTCAATATCAAAGGAATTATACCCATTCTTATGACATTGGGTTGTTCTAAAGCGTTATTATTATTATTGTTTTCATCGATCTCTCGTAATGTAATGGACTTATGGACCTAATGGTCTAGTGCCATAAGGCTATTCCTTTTTTGGGCCTGTCTTGCAGTCCTAGTTATTTCCTCTGCCCAAGGAAATCAACTTTATTTCAAACAATTACACGTATGTATATACATATATATATATATATATGCATGTATATCCACATATACTATTCACCCGTAACAATGTGTACCTATTCATAATAACATTTTGACATATGACATTTTAACATTCATTAAATAAAGATCAACTATAGGGCATATATAGTAGGAGAATCATATCGTTTTCTTATTACGCATAAAGAGGATGTATTGTTATTTTAGGCTCCGTTTATTTTACCGATTCGAATTTAGAATTCGAGTTTTATTACAATAAAAAACTTTCAGAAACAATCACATCTAACTTTTTTACTACAGTAAAAAACTCACATAAAATTACATCTCAACTCAAATTAAGAACTTAAACTCACATAAAATTACATCTTAACTCGAATTAAAAACTTAAATCAACGAACTAAACGGGCTAATCTTAAAGCACATTCCAACCAAATTGGTTTAATTCAAATGAATACACCATTATAAAGCTCAACACAAACTTAATAGTAAGAAAACTTAAATAGTACTAAAACTACATCTCAAGTGAGCCCGAAGGGAATATAGTAAGAACAAGTGCGCCAAATTTTGGCAAGTGGTAGACAAAATTCCCCTAAAAAAATGATATCTTTGACTTTCAACTCTCAAGAGCGGTATTCCTCTAATTCACCCTATAAGATGATAATGGAATTTCCTCAGTGTTATTACACCAGGAAAAAGCTGCAACACTGACGTATACCTTTGATACCCCATCAATTGGTTGCAATTACAAATTTCAATTACAAGTTTACTAAGCCAAGCTCTGAGACAAAAAAAAAAAAATCGTTGCTGGCCATGATTATGATGGACGTAAAAATATATATATATATATATATATATATATATATCGTAGGGTCCCTACAAAATTGTAACCCTGGAACTCCGAGAGCCGAGAGGTGGTGAACAAGTGAAAATCGAATGATAAATGCTATTGACGCTTCAGTGACGGAAGCAAGCACTCGTACATCCTTCCCATGCGCAATGTCACAGTGAGCTTATACCCAGTCTCAAGGCCAGGCTTTGCCAACTCAAGAATGTCCTCCTTTAGGCTGTTTTAAACGGTAACAATTGGTCATCTGTACAAATTCACATTTTTTTTCTCCTTTTTCCTTCCACTTGTATAAAGATTTCTCTCCCTCTTTCGGTGAAGTGGTGTGTGTTTGTGTGTAAGGCAATGAACAAAGTAATCTATAGAAATATATGAATAGAATTTAACAGAAACTAACCATTGCCATTCCCCAGTTGCTTTTGCATGCCTCTCCACAGCACCGTATAGACGATCGAGACTATACAACAGCAAACCACACATGCACTGCGCATCATTTTCCTGTAAAAGAATGATTCATGTGTTATATGCTATTTTCTTACATCTGGAAATTTATTTTCTTATCAGAAAAAAAAAAGACATAATTTTGTTTCTTGGGATCCAAAACCAAGCAATAGGATAGGTCAGAAACAAAAATGTAACATCATGACAGGAGCAGCACAGTTGTTACCTAGTTACTATAACAGAAGAAAGATGCGCGCGTGCGCGTATACATATGTTGCTACAGCAAACCATCTTACTTTGTTGTGTTAACATACAATCAGTGGTTAGAGAAAAAAAAAAAGACAAAAAAGCGGGGAAAGGAATCAAGACTACCAATCAACACAACGATAGATTTTGTATTTGTTAATTAGAATAAAAGCATATATTGAATCTTATGTATGTTCTCACCAGCCCTTTGTCAAGAAAAGTTTGATACAGCATGATCCTTTTCTCAACCTCCACAACAAGTAACCTTCTCTGGATGCGAGAAATTCTTCCCCTTCCTTCCGCTCTAGTATCCTGATTTGCATGATGAGATATAGACAAGCAAATCATACAGAAAATTATACGAGCAATATGTTGGGTATCAAAGAGAGCATAAACTGAAATGCGAACATTCCTTTTACCAGGGAGAAAAAGATTGTAAGTTCAAATAATAACAATATTTTTATTTTGTTAAAAAGCACACTGATGGCAACATTTTGGCAAGGTACCACGTTGTTTTACATGGATCCAGAAATTAAAAACAGCCAGAACCAATAACGAAATTGTGGAATGCATTCAAGGGATTAAGTGTGGTCTGAACAAAGCAGTTGGGACTCGAAATGGCAACAGTAAATAAAAATTGTAAAAATAATAATAATAATAATAGCAAAGTTTGTAAATAATAATAATAATAATAATAAAAAATAAAAAAATTCAGACGAGGAACCAAATACAGGGAAACAAGAACATTGTTATAAAGCTAATGAAGTACATATTACTATGGGCACTCAGAACTTGGAGTTAGATTGTGGTAGTCAGAACAATTTGGAGCTCCATTAATCAAATTCAACAGCATATCGAGTCATTAAAGATAAGATACTTTGATAAGTTCTAACGAATCTACCTGCTTAAACCATGCACGCACTAACATAAGCAGACCAAAGGACAGAAAAAATGCGGGTAACGCAGCTAAAATAGCAAAGTTTATCTCATTCGCCCTGAGAATCTGGTTGAGTTCAAGCATTGCCCTGCTTATAAAAACATCTTGAGCAACTAAAAGAAGAGAAGAGATTCTGCATTCACAATATTGATTATCCACCAAAATACAGTTTGTGAAACTCACGTCTCAATGTCCAGCTTTAGCTTCTGAACCTGTAATGCCAAAATAATAAAGTAAAGATACAACAAAATAATATAATGTAGATATAATCCATTACCAAAGAATAAAACGTAGAGGTATTTCTTGTAACAGTAGAACCATGCATGGGTATGTGTGGGAAAGAATTAATTAAACATTGGGTATCTTTGTCAGTTTTTTCTCAAACTAAGAACTTCAATAACTTTTCCTTATCTGATTCGCTAAGGAGATGGGATCTGATCTTGTAAGGCTTGGTAGTTTCTAAACCTAAGAATGTTTTGGGGTCTATGTTTTTTGGACCCTGATGGTAGCATTGATTTGTTTTCGAGTTAAGACTTAAGAGGAGATATTGTCCTCGTCATGTGTACTTTTTTGGTAGTCATTGAAGTTCATTGTTCCTTATTTATTAAAAAAAAAAAAAAAGGAAGTTAGAAGAAGAAGAAGAATAAAGATCATATAACATCGATAGCATATTTTACCTGGATGAGCAAAGCACGGGCAAGTTCTCCACCAAGAAGGTTCTGAATGGGATGCATAAGTTCCTTTTCATATCTGTGCATAGGAAGCAACAAAACCTTTCAATTAGAAGTTTTGGATTTTACTATAAACCATATCCTACGGTAATGAAATTCAGAACATTAACAAAAGAAACAAATCACGCCATTTTTTTAAGGAGCACTCGAAGACCCACCTGGACATAACTACTTCAAGCATTTTCTGATCTGATGCATTCTCTGGCAACTTTTGACCCTTCATCTGCTCAGTAAAAGCCAATAACATCCTGCAGAGCAATGAGATAAGCACAATACAAATTAAAATGAACAACTTTTACCCAACAATCATGATTTGATAAAAATACCAGAATTCTTAGAAAGCTACTCTCATGGTGTGCAATGCGATCGACCATATATGGTTAATATGTATGTGTGTATGAAAAGCTTATGCTAGAATTATTGAACGAGATACTATGGCAGCAAAGAAGGAACGATGTCTGTTTTTCCAGTTAGTTGTCAATACAAGTGCATAGAGCCATTAAAACAGCGTTCCTTGTACAAATGAATGAATGAATAATTTAAGCGTGTAATTGTAAAAGCATTGAAAACCCACAAAGCTTCATAAGTTCTCCATTGATGCTTACAAAACCATATCATCAGCACAATATCTTTTCCTTTGCAATTGATTTATCATCAATGGAAGCATGTTTCCTATTAAAAAGAACACATGATATAAACAATGCTACAAACAAAAATAATCAAAGAAATAAGTATGATACACAGACAGATAATATACGAAACTGGACAATATCATTTGTATTCCGACAATTTTAATGCACAGAAAAAAAGGTGGAAGATTAAAATAACCTGTGTAAAGAGTTAGAAGTTAACTGCACTTCTTCAAGATCCATCATTCCTTTGTGTCTCTTTCTGAATGTCTCGAAGAGTTCATCTCTAATGGACAGAAGCTGGAAAAAAGGAGTCAGATTAATCCTCAGATGTTCACAAAAAGGGCATGAAACAGAAGCAAGAATGATAAGAGTAATAAGTTGATTTCCCTACTTTCAAATATGTGCAATTCTTTTAAAACATACGTTTAAAATATATCCCAAGATTTGTTAATATCTTTTTAAAAAGTATGGTCTTTAAAAACTTTAAGAATCAATAATTTACGCAATTGGAAATTTACTCTTATCAATAGTTTTTGGCTGTTTTTTCCTCATTTTAAATTTTTTTTTGTTTTGTTCTTGTATTTGCTTTTTTTTTTCCCTTGGATGGATTCCTCATCCGTCCAAAAACTTCATTTGTAAAGTTCTTGATTTATTAATGAAGTTTTTTTTTTTTAAATTTTTTTTTTTTAAATTTTTTTTTTTTAAAAAAAAAAAAAAAAAAAAAAAAAAAAAAAACGAAATTGATACATAAGACATACGTTGGTAAATTAATAATTAACTAATCGATGATTTAAGAAGATCAATCAGTAATTTATCAACACTCAATCAATTACGAAAGTTAATATTTTTCTTAGGAGGACATTTTCTTAATTCAGCAAAACAAGGGATATCAACTTAAGACAGACTCGATCAATTACAACTACGCGTACATTAAAAACTTCATCCATTGTTTTCAGATATTAGAATAAGAGAGAAACGTGTACAAAACATTTATGTGTTGAAGAGTCACCAGAGTTATCATAGATAGCTCGTTGACAGTAAAGCTCCTTGATAGTACGTTTCCAAATTGAGTTTAAGCACGGCACTGTTCTGTTACTTTTCCCTTTTTTTTTTTTTTTTTTTTTGAGGTACTCTCCATGTTTCTTTAACACACATACATATATGTATATAGATCCATCATAGTGGAAGGTGGCATCAATTTACTCATTGTCAATGATATTTTATCGGGTATTATTTTTACAGCAATATTTATACAGTTAGGTCAAATAAGCAACGTCTATAAATTTCTACTAAAATTATTCCAACTAATTCTTCAATTACCGGGCAAAATTACTGACAAGAAAGCAAGCCATGGGCCTCCTAGTATGTCTCGGAACAAAATATAATAACAAGAGTTTCAGAAAAGCAAGATATTACAAGTGATAGACCATACCGGTTGCTCTACGTGGTCCCTAAGAAAGCTGACTGTAGAGTCCCTTGCTTCATGAATCCAATTGTTAATGTCAGGACTTCCCATCAGGCTACTATGTTTCAGGAGCCACATAGAACAAACTGAGAGACCCACAGCACCACATGTGTAATGAATCCAGTATCGGGTTACTTTTCTTGGTTTCCGATGTTTGACGACCTAACCCAAAAGTCACACATTAATAAAAGGGCTGATCCTATACATGTTATAGACAGTCCAATGGAAATAAGAAACCAATCAGCATAAGGAAATAAATAAGATGACTTTTCAAACTTAAAATAGTCTTCCATGCCTAGAGTTGATGAATATAAACAAATTTGAGAAATCCCAATACAACACCCCAAAACACGTAAACCATCCGATCAGATTGATGAAAGCGCAAATATGCGCATCCGCAAGTCTGTATTGATATAATCAAAGGACACTTGGATCACAGGGTTTTTAACATCCAAATACAAGTCTAACACTAGCATAATAAGGAAACTCTCAAACCAATATACTAACAGACGGCCAGCTGCCAGTTCCCCGTTGTTACTACCTTATCAGAAAAATTACTGCAATTTTATACAACATGAGCACTCTTCTTCAATAAATTCACAAGCAGATCTAGAAAACCGTCAATAGGATGTTCACATGACAGAGAGACCACGTACACATGTTATAATGGAATTATTAAAATAAAAAGGGAGAGAGAGGGCAGAGAGAGAGAATCAAATAGAAAATGTTGAATTAGTACAGACTACAGATTTTAATTTCATATACAAACAACAAATGTTACAAGAATCAAGGATGAAATAGGTATGGTAGAGGGTCTTACAAGAATAGATATGTAAGACTCCAATTTGTTAAGATTTTGATAAACCACGTCTATGACGTTATTCATTTCACAATCCGCCCATTGAGATCCATCTTGATTTACTTCTGGCAGTTTCTCAAACGTTAGTGGACTTGCATTAATCGATGAATCGATCTGCATGATAAATGTACAAAAAAGAAATGAAAAGTGGAATGACGTATTTCCAGCATCCCCTGGGAGCTCTTATCAGAGAACGGTAAAGTCACCACCACAAGGATTATATTCATAAAAGAGTAGGTATTATTTTCATATAGCTACCTGGTCTACATGCGTACCTCGTCCATTGTATACAAATTGGCAATTGAAACCTCTAACTTGGAAAATGAGGCATTAACTGCAACCAATAATGAACACAACGCATTGTTTGGATCATTCATTAACTCCTCCCCCAATCGATCAACTTCAGCATAAACCTATGACAATCATCATTATACATAAAATGTCAAAGTTAAGCAAACTTTTTAACAAAAATTGAAAGGCTGACAGATAGCTCAACAAAGAAACATGTCAAATAGAGCCGAGTGGCAATTTGTTTCTCTCTAGAAGATAATGTTATGTGCGCAGGTGCATTTATGAGTATCCATACAAATACATATATTTTTGGGCAAATTGCACTCATACTCCCTAAACTTATTGTCATTCGCATGTTGCACCCAAACTTTTAGTTTTGGCATTTGAGACCCTAAACTATACAATCCCTGGCAATGGAATCAAATTAATAATAGATGTCATTAAAGAACAAAAATTAGAGTTTGAAATACCAAAATTAAAAAGTTCAAGTCCAACTTACAACCAACAAAAAGTTTGGAGTTCATTTGTGTAAAAAATCTTTGGCAACTTCCATCCATTAATTGACATCTATTAGCTATTGGGCCACATTGGAACAAATTTTTAAATTCAGGGTCCTATTTTCCAAAATTGAAAGTTCTAGGTGCACGTGTCCAAATACAGAAAATTAATTATGAATTTTTATAGCCGCCAACACATTTAGGATTGAAATATAGCTTCATAATTCTAATTAACTTCATAAAACTATACAGAACTCTTAAATGTGATGTTAGTCCCTCTGATTGAAATCTTTGCTAAATTGAAAAATTACCATATGAGTAAATGTGACCTTTAACCGCTCAGCCCTACGACTTTTATCAATTGTCCTAAATTTTACTAAACTTATAATTCAAGCTTCTGATATCACATTTAGAGGACCAAAATACAAACTACTGTCAAACCAATGTGTTACCTTTTATTTCACGTATGCAAGCCCAATACATACCCTTGATTAATACGCACCCGGATAAAATTGACCTCCCATTGAATCACCTTGCACACAACGTATAAATGCTAACCAACACTAAAGATGCCTACATTACATCTCACTCAGGCTAAATAACATTCTATATATAAGTATCTAAACGCGCGTACAAATTTATGAAAATACCTAAATGCATCAAATACAGAACTTCTACGGCAATGTTTGATTGATTCATGCATCCTCTAGATCGATGATTTTATAATGTGTTCACATATATCAAATGTATAAAACCTAACGGTTGGGATATCTTTCCTACTGAACAGCAATATGCCTTTCACATGGAAATCAAGGAGAATTACATAATTAAGTAATGGACTGGTAGCATGGCAAACCATCAATGTTCTAACTGGGAAAAATCAATAAAGAGCAAGATTAATCAAACCTCAGCCAAAAATGCGGCAAGAGAACATCGTAAGTTACTCAAAATAGCTATCCTTTCAGATATGTGAGCAGATGTTGAAAGTATTAAATGATGTGCGCAAGAACCTTCAGTAACAAATTCACGTATGAATTGAATTGTTCCATCAAAGAAAGCCCGTGGCCCTCTCTCAAACAACATGAAATACACCTTTTGAGCATTTGTTCCCTGAGATTAGATATTATACACATTACAATTATATGGATTATACAGACAACAAAATATCAATTTAACAATATGTTTTGGAACTCATCAATGCATTTTTAACATAACGAAAGAAACAGTTTTCATTGAAAGCTTCTTTCTTTAGTTATTAAACCAAAAGGTAGAATTTTTTCTAACTCACTAACCTCAGCTCTAGACTGCCAAAACTGCAAGTTCTTCTGAACGCTATGTAAATCTGAATAGATTTGTTCCAAGATATCCTCCAAAACGTCAATAACTCTAGATGCCTCTATTTTCTCTCTGCACATAGAAATGAATTAATTCTTAGGAGATATCATTTAAGGTTCAACAAAGCCTATATTTCTCTCTGCATGTAAAAACGAATTAGTTCTTCAGAGATATCATTTAAGGTTCAAAAAAGCATGTGAAAACAAATATTTGATGATGGAATCTACTGCCAACAAAATATCGAATTAGATGACAGAAGTCATCGAACAAATCCATATTGCTGTAGAATAATGAAAATCAGTGAATATGAATTTAACCAAAAAAAAAATGAGAATGGTATGGTTACAAATATGTAAGTCCGCAGCTCATGCACTTATGTATCAAAGGATCTACATGTACCTTTTCCTTGGTACAAGTTCATATTTTGGCCTCTACAAAGTTTATGTCTGTAAGAGCTAGTAAATATTGCCGTTTGGGAAGATAAATATATAAACAGCCTTTTTCTTTTCCAGCTGAGGAATTAAGATCTGGTTGTGGCATTTGATTGCGGTAGTAGAGTTGGAGTAAGAATGGAATCAGAATGAGAATACCAATAAGATGAAGAAAGGGAAATTATTCCAAAGATGAAGAGAAGGAAACTTCTATTATTTGGTCAAAACTTTCGAATCAGATCAATCGAGAATACTAAACTAAATAATGGAATTGCATTATCAAAAAATACGCCACGCCCCCCAAGAAAATAAACATTTAACATATTAATTAATACCTTATCCATTCGAAAATTAGCATGTTTAAGTGGAATGCCAAGCTTAATATTTCACATATACCCAGGTAGGTAAGGTATAAGTTGCATTTATTTCAATCAGAACTGTGTTTTTTTTTTTGCTAGAAAGTTCAATCAAAACATGATACAAAAACAATATTGCATACTACGAATCTTAAAATCATAATAACACTGGTAAGAAAAAAAATTAGTGCCATATTCGAATGTAATATTAAGCATAAATTGATTCATGTCATAATCCAACCTAACAATTCCATTCCTAAGGTCATTCCGATTTCCCGCAAAACCAAACTCAGTTGTACTAGGCCTTAACTAACAATGTTGTTGCTCCATAATATTTTAAAAACCATTCGGACACTCGCATAATCTCTGTCTAGAGTTACAGGATCCAATAAGCAATCAGACTTCCCAATTAAGTCGAAAATTTGCGGAGAGAAACTAGTATATCAATTTCATCGGACCTAAAAATTCTAACGAAACGAGATTGCACTGAACTCAAGATATTTTTTAAACTTTAAGCAAAAAAAAGCCTAAAAAGTAAAAAATGCACAATTGAGAGCTCCTAAAGTAGCTAAAACTTGACAACTTTGATCACACCGGAATCAAACGAAGCTTACGAGATAATCAACAGGGAAATCGGAAATTACCGACCATTCTACATGACAATGAATAATTTCTAAGGATTAAAACGAGAAACTGAAAAAAAAAATGCTTATGATCTCAATTAAGAAGCAGTTCAATCTTAATGCAAGAGCAGGAACTCCAACCGACTATGTAATTTTCGTTTTTTAAGTGCCAGATTTTCTCGGCAACCAAACAAGTCAAAAAGAGAAAGGAAAGGAGGGGAAAAGAGCTTACAAAGACGATTCGTTGGAAGGCAAGGGAAGAGGAAGGCGTGGCCGCCTCCGTCTCCTTGATCTGGCGGGAGCGGCTTGGTGGCAGAGGTTGGAGATTTTCCCGAGAAAATTGGAATCCAGAGAGGAAATGAAAGCGAGAGCGCGGTTCCTGAGGTAACCGGAGTAGAAGGAAACTAGGGTTTTGGCGTCGGCGGAAGGTGAACCCTCGTCGACGTCCGCCATTTTCAAAGTTGCTTGCCTTTGCGGCTTGGCTAGTACTGCTTGTAAACGAACAAGGCAGAATATTGGAAATGGAAAGAAATGGAGGAGCGCGTCATAATTTTGTAAAAGTATTATTTATCTTTGGTACATGTATTTTATGTTTATTCGAAAAGTATACACTCGTTTTTCTTAAATTTCAATGGTTGTTTATCTTTTTATACCTGACATTTTAGCTTTATTCAGAAAATACACTATCATTTTTTTATTACATTTAATACACAAATTCATGTACATTATCTGTCGAACACTCAATTTTAACCTTAAAATACCCAAATACTTAAAATTTTCTTAACAAGACATATTCAAGACCATTGTTTAACTGAATTTCTCATCGACGGACTATATAAACCGATCTAGCAAATATAAGTCAACATTTCTTTTGCAAATTCAGTGCCGGCTCTTCCTTAAGCCCATTTAGGCAATGGCTTAAGGCCCCTAAAAATGGAAGGCCCCAAATAATGAATAATGCTAATTAATTATATCTATTAACTATGATCATTTATGATAATACTAATAAAAAGGCAACAAATTAATATTTTGGTAGTAACTTTCTCTTTGGAATATGAGATTTTTAGCTTTTCTGCATCCCAATAGCTTTATTTATAGCAGAATATCAATAGTTAAAATTCATCCATTTATTTCGAACACTACCAACAATTTTGTTTTAAGAACTTAAACGTTTCTTTTTTAATTTTTTATGTATAAGATGTATTAAGCGGACTGTTATACATATAATACTGCCATATATTATACATCAACTAAGCAGCATCTCTATATTTTGGTATTGGAATCTTGTGATGAGGATTTGAGTTTGGGAGGAGGAAATGGTTTGGGTTTTTTCTTTCTTTTTTTTCTTTCTTTTGTTTTCTTATTTTGCCCCTTTTTCTATCTTTTTTTATTTTAGAATTTTTTAGTTTTTTCAAGGGTATTTGAGTAGTTTAAGACTATGAATGTTGACTTACCAAAGGTACTTATTTTTATTTTGTTGTATGCATTAATTTGATAATAATGACCCATACTTCTCAAATTATTGAAAAATTATGATCTACGTAAACAATCGGTTCCACCAATAAACTAAAATAGAATGCTACAAGGGAATAGACGTATACCATGTTTCAAAAACAAACACCTAAATAGGTATACCAACAATTGAGTACACACATGACTCTTTAATAAAACTTATACAATTGATGAAAAAATTGACCGAAAGCCACATCACAAAGATAATTTAAAACACTGCTAATCTCAAAACTAGCGGATAGAACATAACACCTAACACTAGAAAACTAGACAAATACCACTAAATCAGAGTTAACCATCACTATTATAAACCAAAATACAAAGAAAAAACTAAAGAAAAAACTAAAGAAAATACTCACCAACGCGGACTCCAATGATGAACGATCATCAAAAGAATCACCAAAGAAAGCAACAATGTAATGACACGACCTTTCGAACCATTACTTAGCATGGTTAACCTTGATTTCTAAACTTTAAAACATTTAATTGGTTACTAAAGTTTCAGAGAAATGTGTGTGTCCATAAATGCCTCATGAAGTATGGACCCCTTTTTAAAGCGCCATCGAATACTGTTCAAAACATCCTCAAACTGTTCAAAATGACCTTTTTGTCCACTTTCATCTATATCCCTAACAGATTTGTTGACATAGCATGTTATCAGGCGGCACACAAAAAAACATCAGGGGCCACATTGAAAATTGATAAATAAATAAAACGTATTATGGAATGAATCCTCAAAATGTAAATAATTATTAAAAATATATATATTAATACGATTATGTAAAATCCGCCTTATCAAATAACATATAGATGCAGAAAAATTCACATGTAATGGACACTTGTCAAGATTAGGAAAGAAGAAAAGTTTAAATTTTCTTCTAAGTTGACACTTTTCAAGATTATGAAAGAAAAAAATTCAAAATTTCTTCTGTTAGACACTTGTCAAGTAGATGGACACTTGAAATTTTATCAATGGCTAAGATTTAGCCAAAACACATTATCCAATGGTTGAGATCTACCCACTTGTGTTTTGATCTAAGGACTAGAATGTAAGATGGCATACTATAAATAGGTGGTGGATTTAAAGTTTATTCCATCCTTCATATGGGGAAGAGCTAGAGAGAGAAAGTTAGAGAGAAGGGGATGTAGGAAGAAGAAAGAATGAAGGTTCTCTAAATTTTGAGGACAAATTATCACAGAAAGCAAGTTGTAAGATACTATGTAAGTATACCTTCCACTATATCACTTGAACAGTAGTATGGTTTTCATGAATGTTTCCAATTTATATATGCTATTGTTGGAATACTTTCATGAGATTGAGATTTAGAAAGTATTTTCAGAGTATGACATGAATCTTGTGTTTATTATGAACTGATTAAAGTATGATAAAAGGGCCAAATCCTTGAGGAAAAAAGAGATTCCAAGATATGGGCTATATGAAAGAGGTTCTAATAACACAAGATGAATGTTGTACAAAAATAGCCCTAAATGTTAAAGAAAAGTATTTTCAAAGTGGAAATTACTATATGGTTTACTTACTAAGCTTGAGCTCATATAGTTTTCGTGATGCAAATAAGTGCTAAAGTAGAAGTTCCAGTTGACTGAGCAAGAACGGTTCAAAGACCCATGACGAGTCAAGACATCTTAAGATATGAAATTTGTAATCTTAAGATTTTGTTCGAGGATTCTAATTATGATAGATGTACTATTAAGAATTATGTAATATTAAGAATTCTGCTCAAGAATTGTTAAGCTTAAAGTTAACGTTTCTCTCGAGCTGGCGCAGTTTTTAGCTATTGGCCCGGGATGGGCGTTAACGTTGGTATCAGAGCAATACGTTTCTAGAGACATAGTAGGGTAGACGTGTCATGAGACCAAGAACTCAGTCAACCTAGGATTTATCTTTTGAGTAATAGTTAAACCCTCATATTTACTAGCACAGTTGTTCATTTGGAGAAATTATAATCATTAAATTTCGAGGACGAAATTTTTATAAGGAGGGGAGATTGTAATACCTGCCTTATCAGATAACATATAGATGCAAAAGAATACACATGTAATGGAAACTTGTCAAGATTATGAAAGAATAAAAGTTTAAATTTTCTTCTAAGTGGACACGTGTCAAGATTAGAAAAAAAGAAAAAATTAAATTTTTTTCTAAGTGGACACTTGTCAAGATGAAGAAAGAAGAAAAGTTCAAATTTTTTTCTAAGTAGACACTTATTGAGATTAGGAAAGAAGAAAAGTTCAAATTGTTTTTTATTAGACACTTGTCAAGTAGATGGACACTTGATCAAGGATGGAATAAACTCAAATCCACCATCTATTTATAGTATGCAATCTTACATTCTAGCCCTTTGATCAAAACACAAGTGGGTAGATCTTAATCATTGATTTCATATCTAATATCTACTCTTAAATCATAAGTGTTTTGGCTAAATCTTGGTCATTGATGAAATTTTAAGTGTCCATCTACTTGACAAGTGTCTAACAAAAGACAATTTAAACTTTTATTCTTTTCTAATCTTGACAAGTGTCAACTTAAAAGAAAATTTAAACTTTTATTCTTTCTTAATCTTGACACGTGTCCACTTCGAGAAAATTTTAAACTTTTCTTCTTTTCTAATCTTGACAAGTGTCTATTACATGTGAATTTTTTTGTATCTATATGTTATTTGATGAGACGGGTATTATAGATTACAATGTGTTTCTCAATATAATTAACAAAACTACAATCCTAAGTTTTAATTACCCAAAACATAACATGCCTCTCACAAAATAAAAGTTGACTCTAATTAAAATAAAATTTTTGTGAAAATCTTATTCTAAAACTTAAATACGGTGAAATTCGAATCGTAGATGCGCACCTATCTGAAAATGACCAAAATCTAATAAAGGACATCAACTCATCACCGACAAATAAAGTATTCCAAATAAATCTCACACAAATGCATTCAAGATGTTGTTTGTCGCCATGGAGTGGGTCTTTGTTGTTATTGCGGGGTGGGTCGTCATCATTGTCATCCTGTTGGGTTGTTATCGCGGGGTGGGTTCATTTGGGATAAACAACAACTTGAATATAGTTTTTCGAGATTATAAAATATCGTGTGGTGATGGGTTGCTATCATTTTTTGAATATTGCACATTTTCAAATGGGTGTTTTATATTTGAGTTTCATAATAATTAAGTTTAGACTAAAGATTTTACACATTTGATTTAAATTAAAGTTATTTTCAATAAAATTTTTGGTCGAAAACATGTTACTTTTAGTGAAATTAGAGTTTATAATTAAACTTTTATTAATTATAATTGAGAAATATATCATATCAATATTAATTATTTTTTATTTTTTTAAAGAGTAATTTCATTAATGCCTCTGACTTATTAAGTAATTTTCAATGTGTCCTTAATATTTTTCATTGTATCCTTTGAGAGCATGTCACGCCGGTAAATTCGTTAGGAATATAGATGGAAGTAAACGAAGGAGAACACTTTGAACAATTTTCTATATATCACTACATGTTTTGAAAAGTTTTGAAAAATCATGAGATATTTAGAAAAATGACTCATAAGATTTTTGAGTGATTTGAAACTCTGCATGAATCTTAATGAGTCTGTCGAGCATCATAATCAATTTTGGAAATTCATAATTCCCTATAAAAATTTAATAGACGTTTGTTTTCTGTATTCGTTCCTAATTCTGAATTATGATTCATGATTCTCAATAGTGTTTTTTTTTTTCACAAAAAATACACGTAAAATGAGAATAATTCTGAATTATGATTCTAAATCTATGAACCAAACGTCCATAAATATTTTGAGTGATTCAAAATTATACAGGACGTCTATTTCATATATATATAAATAGTTTTCTCAAATTCAAAGTCAAAAATATTTAAAATATTTAAAAATATAAATATAGGTCCAAGAAAAAAGTCTGAAACAATTCCTTTTTTTTTTGAAAGGAAAGTCTAAAACAATTCTAGCAACATAGTCAAATT